GTGGTCGACTTGGTCGTGGTCGACTTGGTCGTGGTCGACTTGGTCGTCCGGGCCTTGGTTTGACTGCTCTTGGTTTGGCCGTTGAGAGAAAAATTCGGCACCACGGAATTGTCGATCGGCATTAGTTGAGCGTACATGTTTGACAGCACCATGTTCCTCAGTAAGACATTCGCTTCATAGTCCGCTAGGGCATCTTCGTCGCCAAACAGTTCTCCGGACTCAGGCTCTCTGCTGGATGCGACCAACTGTCTTAAGTGCCTGTTGAGCGACGCAGGTTCTGACCCTGGAAAACTTGCGAAGAACGGGAAACTGGAATCGTCGATCCAGTCGTCGAACTCGGGGTACCGGTAGGAGATCACTAGCCGCTTCCTCTCCTCTTCGCGCACGCCAGTGGATTCACGCTCAGGTTCACGCTCACGCTCACGCTCGTCCTGGCGAGCTCCGGTATTTCTTGGGACCAGAAACTTTTGCCCGCCTAAACCGACCTCGTCGTGCCGCAATATTCTTGCCGCCCTGTTGGATCTAGCTAATTCGTACAAAATTCGACCTGAAGACTCCGACAAACGATTGAGGCTTCTTCGCCTTATCGGCGATATTCCATGGCACCCCAATAACAGCAGACAAACGATTCCGAAACCTCGCATTCCAACCGGGTACCCACAGAAAACATAAATGTCCCTTCTCAGCACACGTGTGCTATTCCCTCCTCAGCACACGTGTGTGCTATCCCCTCCACACGCCTTTCGTCATCGTCTCCGCTACATTTCAGCACTGTAAAATCTCAACCACGATGGGACCTGCCGATCTGAGTTGCCGATCTGAGTTTTAAGAAATTCATTAGGGTAAACCAGCTCGTAAACGAGCCCGGTTTAATAATCAACTCAGCTGCTGAAGGTCCACCAGGTTCAGGCCGCTGTTGTCATAGTCAGACATAATATGAGCGAATTCATCCTGCCCCTGGCAGACATCCTCCCCCCCAAACACCTTTTGCCCTGTCCAGACATCTTTGACCAGAAGCTAGCGCCTGCCTGTATTTACCCCTACCTCGAACTAAAAGGCGTCTGGTGCACGACCGAGAGTGCTTAGTACACGACGTCCGGAATGACTGTCGGGGACCCGCAGAGAGCAGTGACTTTGGACGGCGCGGCCCAAGAGGTGGCATGGAAAAAGGCTTTGAGACCACAGAGGTCGCTGGTGCCGACTCTTCTCTTGGAGCATGCGGGGATACGGTCAGTGATACTAACACCGTTATAGATGAGGCGGAAGAAGTAGGCTGTTTGGTTGTCCACATCATCCGATTGGTCGTCGTCATCCGGCTGGTCGCGAAGATGTGGCGTGTCCTTGGTAGCGGCATGTAGCTCGAAGATCATTTGGCTGGCGTAAGGTGGCCAAGTGGCGTCGAACATGTCTTCATTTCCGAGGGAAGCAAGGAAGGGTAATAATGTTGTGTCGTGCGCTGCATAGACGACCAATTTTTTGGCGTCGAAAGGAGTAGTAATGCTGGTTCTGGATGCGACGACACGCCGATAAAATTCCTGAAGGTCGTCTGTCGGAATAATGTCGGCCAGGATGCGTGCGGCCTGAGCAGGTTCATGGTCTGCGGTTACGTGTTTCATCAATGCACGACATAACTCTGTTTTAAACTCTACCATGAACTTAACCGTTGCTGCCCGACTGTATCGACTACCGTTCCACGTGTATTGGTATGAGGCGTATTCATTAACCGCCGCTGAGGTTTTCCCCACCGTTTCATGAAAAGCATCCGACCAACGCATAGACGCCGCTTGGTTAGTTCCCATCTGGTTATTTCCCGCTAGGTTGCTTCCAATCTGTTGGTTGCTCGCCGCATCGCTGGTATCCACTTCGCTGCTGAGCCACATAGGTCGAAGGTTCGAAGGCAGGGACGCCCACTCGTCGCCACACACAGCCGTCATGATACAGTCGAAGAACTCTCCCGGCCACAATGCCTTCACGTCCTCCAACCCCGTCAATACCGCAATCGACTTCTCCACACCCTCGTACTTTGCCTGCAACTCCGCGAACGTCTGACTCGACAATAGGTCCTCCTTCAACTGCTGTAACTCCGGACACGCATGCGCATTCGGAAAGATAAAGTCGTTCCCCTCGTCCATCGTGTGCAAGTCGATCTCACCACCCACCGTCAAGTTACTAGCTCTACGAATTCTCACCATGTAACGGGCATGCCACGGCCGAGTGGTGAAGAAACGGGAATGTGTATTACAGAGTGGTCGAGAACAGAGTGGTCGAGAACAGAGTGGTCGAGAACAGAGTGGGTGGGTAGGTGGTGGTGTGTGGGTACAGAGGGCAGGTGTGTACCGAATGAAATGGGTGAGGAAAGTGGCTCCGCTGAGTATGGTTCGCTGCATGTCGGAGGAGCGGAACCAGATTTGGTTTTTGGCGTCGGTCGCGATGAGAGGTGTAGAATTCTTCTGGTAGTATTGGGCAAAGAGCTGGCCTATGTGGGCGTGTTGTTCAAAGCCTTCGGCGAGCAAGTGGCCCTTGCCGCAGGTGCCTCCGAGAGAGTTGGCCGCGGGATCGCTATCATAGTGTTTTCGAAACATGAGTTGAGGCGTGGCGGTTTCGGGGAACAGGTCAAGGTCGTGCGCTTCCGTATCTGCCACTTGGGCATCACTCGCCCCGGCCGCCTTTATGTCTGCATCCCCGGGTACTGGGGGTATCAAGTCGGTAATTTCTGTACGTGTGTGTGCAAACGCTCGCGCAGTCAGAAGTGGCCGTAGGCTTTCTTCGACGTCGCAGTTCCACTGCGGCGCATAGCCGCGCCAACAGAGGTAGCGCCCCGCAGGCGTTCGAGCGCCGTGGCGCAGAATCGTCGAGACATGAACCAACTCCGTCTTTAACCGCACCGCCTCCTGAGACAATTCGGGGATCGTCCGAGCTTGCACAAAGTCTTCGTCACCCACTTTCGAACAATAGTTCGGGTACTCATAGGCACCCGCAACCCACGCCAGCAACAGCAGCGGAAACATTTTACCGAAATGGACCATCCCCGAAATGCGACCACTCACCAACACTCCAACACAACCAAGAAACCAAAAGGAGCGGAAAAGAGATTGAAGATGGATTCAAAGGTTAAAGATGCATTCAAAGCTTAAAGATGCATTCAAAGGTTAAAGATGGATTCAAAGGTTAAAGATGGATTCAAAGGTTAAAGATGGAGTCGGG